ATTTTCAGGAGTTGAATGTCTTATCCACTGAGCAGCGAGGCTGCTGATAGCTCTTTGACCTACACCAGTACTGGAAGAGGAGGTGGTGGTGGGCTCTGGGGAAGCCTAACAGCCTGCTTGTTCATGTCCTGAAAGACAGAGCTTGTATCTACTGAGCCATTTATTCAAATCAAATTTTGCCTTTAGAGAATGAGAGGACGGAGTGATCCGGTAAAAGCAGGCGAATACTTCGGGAGAGAGAAAGTAATGTTAACTATATCGCTAGTGCTAACGGTATTCAAAAGTCTTCCTAAATTGAGCGTAAATTGTTGAAGAGTTGAAAGTCAGGGTGCGGGGGAGAGTTGAATGTGTGCATAGAGGTTCCTGGCGCCCCCAGGGGTCACGCCTCACACCCATCAGGCTCCTGGCGCCCCTAAGGGTCACGCCTCACACCCATCAGGCTCCTGGCGGCCCCAGGGGTCACGCCTCACACCCATCAGGCTCCTGGCGCCCCTAAGGGTCACGCCTCACACCCATCAGGCTCCTGGTGCCTCCAGGGAGCCCCAAGGTCACGCCTCTCACCCATCAGGCTCCTGGCGCCCCCAGGGATCACGCCTCACACCCATCAGGCTCCTGGTGCCTCCAGGGAGCCCCAAGGGTCACGCTTCACACCCATCAGGCTCCTGGTGCCCCCAGGGATCACGCCTCACACCCATCAGGCTCCTGGCGCCCCTAGGGATCACGCCTCACACCCATCAGGCTCCTGGCGCCCCCAGGGGTCACGCCTCACACCCATCAGGCTCCTGGCGCCCCCAGGGATCACGCGTCACACCCATCAGGCCCCTAGTGCCCCCAGGGATCACGCGTCACACCCATCAGGCCCCTGGCGCCCCCAGGGATCACGCCTCACACCCATCAGGCTCCTGGCGCCCCTAGGGGTCACGCCTCACACCCATCAGGCTCCTGGCTGCCCTAGGGGTCACGCCTCACACCCATCAGGCTCCTGGCGGCCCCAGAGATCACTCCTCACACCCATCAGGCT